ACCCTTCATAGCCAAGGAATTAATTAAGGCTAAGAGGTAACCCATGTCTCAACAAAACCTATTTTCGTAGTTATGATTTCCCCCGTAGGTTTTCCCCATATTATTGTGTATTGATGATTTGTGATGTTATTATTGATGATTGATGGGACAATTCCATGGGTGATCTTGACATCGGGAGATTCTTGATAACTATGGTGTTCTTAACGATTATGTGGAGTTCTTAATGATTATATGGTGTTATTGATAATTGTATGGCGTGCTTGATGCTTATGTGTTATTCGTACTGAATCATGTAATTAGAAGGTGAACCGTATTCTTGTTGATAAAAAGATAATTAGAACCCTAGGTTGATGTTCTTGTTGGCGTTCTTGATGTTTATGTGATATTCCTACCGAATCTTGTAATTAGAGGACGAATCGTATTCTTGTGGGATTAAAAATAATTAGAACCCTAGGTTATATCGTGGAATTCGTATGGTATTATTCTTGGTATATTGGGTGGGATTTCGCATGATTGGGTGTTTATTATGTCTAGAAAAGCATGATAGGTTATGTGCCATTTGATTCTTGATTTTGATCCGTTAAATTGTCTACGTGTGTTATCAATTGCGTTTGAAAGTGTCTAAGCATGGTCTCGGGTTCCATGAAGGTTCCCGGGGCGTTTTTGGTGTTAATGAGTCAGTGGGGGGTAGGTGGGGGTAGGGGACCCGCCACCTACCCGCGGTCGAAAGGGGCAGTTTCGGCAGCGGGCAGCCGGCGGGCGGGCAGCTGCCCGCCGGCGACCCGCTGCCCGGAACAGTGTTACCGGCGGGCAGCCGGCGGGTGGCCCCCCACCCACCGGTTACCCGCTGGAAATTCCCACTCTTGGGACCCCGACTTCCCCGTTTGATGTTTCCCCGACCCCTGTGGTGTCCCAACGGACTCCGTCTATCGTGCCTATGTCTAGTTTGATATTTCGGGTACCGTTCGTAGGTTGTATGAGTCTTATATATTGCATGCTAGTTGAAATGGTATCCCGCTGACCTAGGTGAAAGGAGTGTGAACCCCTTAGGACTATTCTTAGCATGTGAAGGATCACGCATAGGTTTTGTTATATGTTTCCTCCCCTTCCCAATAGGTTAATGTGGGTTGCATGTGCTTGCTACGTGTTATGTGTGCGTGTCACCCCGAATTGGTTGAGATCAATCGGGCTATACGGGCAGTCGGGTGGGCTGAGAACCATACCGGCTGTTAACCAGGCTGGGAGAGACCGGTCAGGTATATAAATATTATATAGGACTAAGTTCCACTATACGGGCAGTCGGATGGGCTGAGAACCATACCGGCTGTTAACCAGGCTGGTAGAGACCAGTCAGGTATATAAATATTTTATAGGACAAAGGTCCACTATATGGGCAGTTGAATGGGCTGAGAACCATCCCAACTGTTAACCAGGCTGGTAAAGACCGGTCAGGTATATAAATATTATATAGGACAAAGGTCCATCAGTCGGTTGCGATCGGCTCCTCCGTAATGTGAGACGGGGCAGGGTGCTGCGGGGCCGTGTCAGAGCTATATGCGCTGACCCTCATGTATGGGCGCCAACAAAGTGTGCTATGTGATGAGATATGGATGAGTTGTGTTTATGAGTATATTGGGGGATGTGACCATGGGAGTTATGCTGGGGATTGTTTACATTGGGTTATGATTATTAATTGTGCTCAGCTTTATTTGTCTTGCCTGTTGAGGATTGTATACGCCGTTATAACTGTTGCTTGTGTCTAGCCTTATCTGTCGAGTCATTCCCGGTTTTAAAAGCTAGAGTCTCGTAGGATATATCTTCATGCTTCAAAATGGTTTTCGTATATTTATATATATCTCTATATGTAATGTATTTCAACGCGTTGGAGTGGGTTACCAGCATCTCTCGCTGAACAGATATATTTGGCTTTCAGGCACAGAAGAATAAGTCACTGGAGCGCGCTAGAATTTGGAACGTAGAAGTAGATAGTTTCCCTTTCGGCCTGCGTGCCATGTCATGCATTTACGTTTTGAGGATATTAGTTAGTTAGCCTGTGCACCTGAGTTCTCTAGCTCAGGTGTGGCATAGCACCCTGTACTCTTGTATTCTGTTTTTGGGATTTAATAAGATTTCACCCTTGTTTCATAAGTTTTAATTATCCTGAAAATCTGGGGTGTTACAGCCCTAGTAATAGCTATTACCTCATTTGAGGTAATAGGCTATTACCAGGAACATTAATATAAAGGTTTGCCAAGCAAAAGAATAGGCCTATTACTGGGAATGCTATGACATTCCAGGCCTATTCCGTGAACAAAACGGGCCATAAATGTTTGAAAAGTAGAACATAACTCTCCATGTTGTGCTTCAATTTCACTCGCTAAAGCGAACGTCTAAATTAACAAACGCGGAGATTGGCGTTGAACCTCCCTCCAAATTGTAGACTTAAGCCCTATAATAAACATCGAAATAAGCATAGCCTCTGGTACACCTGTGGCCTTGTTCAATAGTTTCTCATACTCTGCTCTGTATGTAGAAACAATAGTGGTCTGGCACGTCTTGGATAAGTGACCCAAAAAGTCTTCGAAGAGTGAAAGATCAAAGCGGAACTTAACTTGCTCTAAAAATTCTGGCCAAGACCGTAATAGGATGTTGCTTTTCATCCATCGAAGCAATTCTAAAGCCTCGCCCATAACCATGAACGAAACGTAAGAGAGATGACGATCCTCTGAAATCCCATGGTATAAAAAATACTCATGCATCACAAAAATCCATCCATGAGGATCAGTACCCTCAAACTTAGGAAGATCAATTTTGAGGGCATGGTTGCGTAAGGATGTCATTTAATTGGAATCCTCAGAATAAAAACGGTTGGTCTGGGTAGTCTTTGAAGGAATGTAAGCAGGATTAGTTGAAGGATTGGTAGTGGGATTAGATGAAGGATTGGAAGTAGTGGTTTTGATGAGTTCAACTGTTTGGGCTAACTGTTGGATTGCACGTTGCAAAGCTGGGGTACTTTGGTGTTGGAACATAGATTGATCTTGAAATTGCTTGTGAAGTTCAGTAATGTAGTCCTCCACAGTGGGTGGGGGAATGGTGTTGGGATTTGGCACATTAGTAACCATGCGAACCAAGGTGGGATGGGAATGAAAGCACCAGTTGATACACTAAGGTATCTAAAGTACTTTTCGAGCAAATACAAGCTCCTTATGCCGTACTATTGAGCGTACGAGACTCCGGGAACAATTAATAAAAACAGAGGAAAGGAAAATTCTTATTCATCATGCCCATTCATCATACAAATACATCTCTTTAATAGTTCCTAAAGTCTAACTTATTTAGTAAAAGGAAATATGGAAATTGCATGCTTCAAGAAACTAAAAATCAAGGAATTGATATGATGAGAAGATTCCATGCTATTTGATATTTTCTTCCATGCATGAGTTCTCAAATTGGTCTCTACCCATAAACAAAAGATTCATTCCTTTTTTGTCGCCTAATTCGAGTTGACCGTCATACTTCTAGTTGCATGGGTTCTTCCCGTTGATTGGTGATCGTATCACGTACTCATACTCAAGTGCTCATTGTTAAGATATATTACTACGAAAATAATATTTCTGAAATATAACAAGCACAAGAACGAAAATATTTTTTGAGTAGGTGGTTAGTACGAGTTGTACGAAGCACTCTTTCCTTAAAAGCTTATTTGCTACCTCCCAAAGGTGCTAGGAGCGTTGTAGCCTAGGTTTCCATGATAAAATGTACTACAGTTCTATGTTTGAGCACTCAAACCAAAAGAACCCATCGAACTAGAGCAAGGGATGAACACATTTGGCTAAGAAAGAAGAAGAATAGAGATTTTGAGAGCTAAAAACGTAGGAGTTTTTGTGTAAAATTCTGTTGCTCAACCAAGCTTATATAGGAGTTGATTGATTAAATAAAATTTAACTATGGCATTAAAACTGATAATAAATCAGTCATTGTAACCTCTGTAATAGCTAACCATTAAGTTGAGAATTAATTTTGTAATTCAAAATTAATTCCGTAACGTTTGAATTAATACCCAGAACGGTCGCTAACCGAATGGTACCTGAGAGGTTACGAGAGGACGAGTGGTAACCACAACTGAGGAGTTAACCACTCACTCAAATGGGTTTGACTGAATGGTAACTACAACCACTCGGTCAAATGGCCATTTGAACGAATGGTAACTACAACCAATAAGTCAAACCCATTTTACGGAATGGTTAGTCCTCTAACCGAGTGGTACATGTTACCACTCGGACAGTGACTAAAAATATTGGAAACTTTTCACGAAAAATTGGTGTGACTTAACCCGCAAGGCCAGTCACTTTGCCGGACGACATTCGTGCACGCAGGTACCAGCGTACACGAGGTAAGACTTTTCAGGCTCATTTTGGGATTTGATTTGCATCATCCCCCTACGCGCGAGAGAGAGCCTTTATGATATATGTAAGTGTACAAATGATACACGTTAAACCTTATTATAAATTGACTAATTTATTTGTCAAAAAGGTTAGAATTTATTTTTTAGTGTAATCTTTGGGCCGACTCCTATCAAGTTATTATTTAAGCATTCTGGCACAGCATCTGGATACGCTAGATCAGAGTCAGCGTTACATACTTCAGTGGTACTCAACAAATTATGGGTGGTCTGGTCTATTATTCAACACTATTTAAATATTGTGGATGTCTTTTATTAATGGTATGTGGTCAGCATTAATTTGGGAAAAGTTGGTTGAGTGAAATTGAGTATAAAAGGGTGATCTCTTTGATGCCTATTGGAAAGCCCGCACAAGAACTCATCTTAAAGCACAAGGAGAACTCGTTTGGCATTTTGTTTTAATAGGGTGGACACATCTTACCAAGGCTGGAGCTACTCTAGAGGATCCCCAATGACAAAACCTGAAACTGAATGGACTCAAACTGAAATAACTAATGGTTGATATAATGATAAAGCTCTTGACACGATTTATTCATTAATGCATGAAAGCCAATTTTCTTTGGTTACAGGTAATGATTCAGTAAAAGTTGCATGGGAGATACTTGAAACAACCTACGAAGGTACAAGTTCAGTTAAGAATTCAAAACTACAACTAATCCAGTCCGAATTTGAGGAACTTCGAATGAATGAGGATGAAACTATTATAAGTTTCCATGGTCGTGTCCAAGAACTGGCCATTCGTGCTATAGTTCTTGGAGAACCCTTCTCCCAACCAAAGCTGGACAAGAAGATCCTAAGGTCACTACCACCGCAATTCAGGATGAAGGTAACTGCTATCCAAGAACATGATGGTTGGAAAAATAAGTCACTCGCTCAATTAATGGGAAATCTACAAACTTATGAAATGGAAATCCTTGTTGATCACGCCAAAAAGAAAAAAAATGTTGCCTTTACCGCTGAAGAACAAGACGCTGCGTTTGATCCAGAGGAACCAGGTGATGATCCAGTTGTGTTTTTAACTAAACAATTTTCTAAAATTTTGAAACAGGTTTCACAAAAGAATTCTCGAAACAACAAATTTCAAAAATGATCAAGCTCGAACTCATCAAAGAATGGTCCCAAATCTGGCTCATCAAATTACAAGTCTTCTACCTCTCGTCCAGCCCATTCCAAAGGCAAATCCAACAACAAGGGGATTCGGTGCTACGAGTGTGAAGGCTTTGGTCACATCCAAGCTGAATTCCCTACTTATCTAAGATGAAAGCAGTCGATGTCAGCCATAACCTAGAGTGACAATGAACCTGAGTCAGAAGTAGCTGCATCTGATGTAGTGGAAATATCTGGAAATTTTGTAGCATTCACTGCCAGAGCTGGAGAACGTCCAGAACCTGGAGATGTGGCTGACTCAGAGGGAGACGAATATAGTTCAACTGAAAATTTTGATTTACCTGCTTTATCTTATGAAGTAGAATATAAAAAATTGTACTCCAAATGGGAGGATTTACTTAAAGCTAATCGTTCCTCGTCTAGTGAAGTGGGGATATTAGAAAATGCTAGAAAAGTGTGCAAGAATCAGGTAGCTGATAGGGATTTGTTTCTTAAAGCTGCTTCTGATCGAGAAGAGAAGCTGAAGTAGGAAGTTAAGACGCTGAAGCAGGAACTGAACACCCTCAAAAAGCAAATTCAAATGATGGATACTACCTCGACTCTTGACAAAATTCTCGATTCAGGAAGGCAATCATCTACAAAATTTGGCCTAGGCTTCACCAGTGGCAACAACAAAGACAAAACTGTCTTCGTCAAAGCTTCTGGACTAGATCCAGAAGATATACCTGAGTCAAGTTCAGCGAGACAAAATCATGGTAAAATATGGCAAAACAAACGTACTTACAAGTTTTATAACCCCATTTGCCATTATTGCATGATGCAAGGTCACATCAGACCTGAGTGCTATTACTTATACAAAGATTAAAGGACCGAGAAATACAAGTATAAGTATATTACTCCATTTACTAAACGGGTTTGGGTAAATAAAACTGACTATTTTTGTCATGTTTCCTTTCATTCGAAGAGTGCAGGTAGAGAAGAAATGTGGTATTTCGACAGCGGCTGTTTGCGTCATATGACAAGAAATGAAAAATTTCTAAGTGACATCAATGAAAGCAAAGGCGAAGTAACCTTTAGGGATGGCGTCAAAGGCAAAGTCACTGAATAGGTACTCTAAACGTTGTTGGACTACCCAAGCTAAGAAAGGTGCTGCTGGTAAAGGGACTTCACGCCAATCTCAAAAGTATCAGTAAACTCTGCGACCAAAATTGGAACGTGTGCTTCACAAAAGACATCTGCAGCGTTATGGATAAAGAAAAACATTGTGTAATGGAAGGTCGCTTGACAAACTCATAAAGATAGATGGAGTACGTGGTCCACCCAAGATGAAAATTGACTCAATCAGCGTGTGCGGAGCGTGTCAAGCTGGAAAACAAACCAGAATCTCTCATCCAGCACAAAAGGCTATCAACACCAGTCACTACCTGGAACAGATCCACATAGATTTTATCGGTCCGACTCAATCGGAGAGTGTTGGGGGTAAGTGGTATATTTTGGCAAGTGTTGATGATTTTTCGCGTTTTTCTTGGGTGATATTTCTGAGGGAAAAATCCGAAACACTTGGAGCCTTCAAAGTGTTGAGTCTAAAACTTCAAAAGGATAAAAATGAACTAATCATGAGAATTTAAAGTGATCACGTGCGAGAATTCGACAACAACTCATTCGAAGAATTCTGCAATCACTTTGGAATCTCTCACGAGTATTCTGCACCAAAGACTCCACAATAAAACGGAGTAGTTGAGTGAAAAAAGCGCACCATTCAACAAATGGGCCGAGTCCTACTTAATGCAAAAGCTCTACCTCAAAAGTTCTGGGCTGAAGCTGTGAATACTGCGTGTCATATTATAAATCGAGTATACCTTTGACCTGGCACAAGTCAAACTCCATATGAAATATGGAAAGGTAAGAAGTCAAACTATAAATATTTCCGTATTTTTGGCTCACGATGTTTTATTTTGATGGATAGAAATCCCATTGCAAAATTCGAACCAAAACGCGACGAAGAGATTTTTCTTGGATACTCGACAAACAGCCGAGCATATCAGGTGTACAACAAAGTCACGAAAACCATTATGGAATCTACCAATGTTGTGGTTGATGGTCAACCGGATGAAGTTTTTGAAATAACGCAACATGGACCAGTGCCAGAAACTGACACAAATAATCCAGAATCTCCTGAACCAGGTCCAGAGCCTTCTACACCTAATTCAGCATCTGCTCAACCTAATCCCGAACCAGACTCTAAGTCGGAATTAGAATAAAGTGAAGTAGATGTACCAACTCGCATCCAGAAAAATCACCATGTTCAAAATATTATCGGAGATCCAAGTTCTGGTGTCTAGACTAGAGGAAATCCAAAGCGAGATTATCTTCAACTAGCAGGATATGAATGTTACACATCAAAGATCGAGCCCAAAAATGTGAAAGAAGCGTTATCGAACGAGCACATGATCAAGGCCATGTAAAAAGAACGAGTGCAATTCAAAAGAAATAAGGTATGGATTCTTGTTCATAAACCTAACGGTGTTAATGTTGTAGGTACCAAGTGGATATTTCGGAACAAAACAGACTCAGCCGGCAACATTGCACGAAACAAAGCACGGCTTGTAGCCCTAGGCTACTCTCAGATTGAAGGAATCGACTACTCTTAGGCAGCGCAACAATGGAACCCCAAAAGATATCTTGTACAACTGCCCATCCACTATCTCGAAGGAAGGAGCTCTCTGGCGTATGCAGTCAGCATCCTCCTTCCGGTCAGGTAATTCTAACTCCTACTTGTATTTAATTATATCCGCGATCCAGAACCACTCCGGCGGAGTCCCCGGATCCGAATGTCGGGCGGGCCCCTAGACGACTGTGCAAACCGAGAGCGACTCCTTACTCGGTCATTCCACAAACTCAGTGCGAAAATCATCAATAGGTACGGAGGCACGCCTCCCAAAGCTAGCTTCGAGAATTGATGTTTGTAAGTTTAGTGAGATGAAAAGTGTAAACGGAGATGTGGAATCCCCGAGTGTCAGTATCAAGGATGGATAATTAGAATTGAAGGTCGTGAGGTCAAACACAAGCACTCATTTGCAAAAGGAAGCTAAGAGAAAACATTGTACAAGAGAGGATAGGAGTACAATAAGTAGAATATACAAAGAAACAAAAGAAAACTATACAAGTAAAGATGGAGTGAATTGGAATTCCCACTCCCGTTTGTGTGTGAAGTGAATCAATCCTAGTATAAGGCTAGTGGTGATTGAGTCATGTGAGATGGCTTCCAATGTCGTTCACCTCTCGGTTACTAGGTCTTTCATAGGTGTGGAACCACAATTCCGTGACCACGTTCCTTATGACCATTTCATCAAACACCTTGTCTACATCTCATTCCCATCTCTGGCCTATCGGTTCTTAGAGAAGGGAAATGCAAAGAAGACAAGTCTATGATTAGGCCTCGATATCTCGCAAGCCTAATCCTACTCAAACCTCAAGCATATGATGCACATCCACACACAAGAGTCCATACAAAGTCTCCTTACAGCAAGACATCAACACTTAATCACAAATACCTAGATCAATCACACATTCAACACAAGGAAATAGGATCCAATCCACTAAGATATTCTAGCCAAGCATAGCTAAGTAATTCAACATTGCAATATGAAATCAATCAACAATTAGAGAATGAAAGCTATAAGAAAATACCAAATTAGATTGCAATAGTTGATTACTTCTACAATTACTTCATGAATTAAAGGTTGTCAATCTTCTTCTCCAAGAGTCTTCAACAATGAGAGCTAGGCTAGAGATGACCTAGAATCTAGAGAGAGAAAAACCTAATCTACAAAACTCTAATTGAGAAAAATGAAAATGGAAGAATGGTGTGTAAGTTAGATGCACAATACCACCACAAGCCCTTGCTTAAATCCTGAAATTTCCGACACTGCACCATCCACTAATTCCCAATTTCGTGGGGAATTTCATGGATTTTTCTGTTCCCGATCCACGCGTGTCCCAAGCACGTGGGACGATGCATGGATGGGAACGACTCTGAATTAGCCATTCTGGCCTTCATGAAAGTTGTAGCCCTTGAAGTTTCCGTTCCAATACCACTTGAATAACATCATTTGGACACTTCTAGCTCACGATATACTCAAATTACCGAACTGTCGCCGGAATGCCTTGAAAATGACAATGTTTTACTATTTTCCACAAATGAAACCACAATTAGTCCTTGCTATTATATTTTATCAAAGTAAGATATTCTAAGCATATAATAACCTCAAAGGAATCCAATTATAGCATAATATTTCTCCCAAATACACCACAAAAGGTAGCATCTTTGGCACTTATCAACAATATATCCGCCTCGCCATTCCGCCTGAGGGACATGGACGATCTCATAAGCCGCCAGCTTTTCCAGCAGTCCCTCGGTCACATCTTTGTAGAGCTTCAATATTTCTTCCTTGGTCTCACACTCAGCCTTCAGCTGACTGACCACCAAGCGGGAGTCGGTTTTCACTAGCACTCGGGCGGCCTTAAGGGCCACGACAAGGCGTAGCTCTCCGATGACCACCTCATATGCGGCCTCGTTGTTTGAGGTCCGAAACTAGTTTTGCAGCACATAATACAGGTGAAAACCCTCGGGAGTCGTTATCATAACTCCGCCTCCACAATGTCAAATGTTGGATGCTCCATCGGTATGTATTTCCCACCATTCGGCCTCCTCTAGCTCCTTGGCCGGGGGAGTGACTTCCAGGTGTGCGGAGCATTCTACTATGAAATCAGGCAAGTCCTGGGCCTTGATGGATGGCCGAGGGGCGTACTCAATCCCATATTGGGTGAGCTCCATTGCCCACTTCAGTAGCCGCCCGGATGAAGATAGACTGCGCAACATGCCAAACAGTGGCAGGTCGGTCAATACCCTGAGTTGGTGTGCCTGAAAGTAGGGAACCAATTTCCAAACGATAGTAACCAGGGCGAAAGCAACTTTGTCCAGGGGGAAATTGTTGATAAATGGGCCCTTCAATGTCCGCCCTACGTAATATACGGGCAATTGGACCTTGTCCTCTTCCTGCACGAAGACCAATCCGACCGCTTTATGAGAGGCAGCCAGATACAACAACAAGACTTCACCTTCTTTAGGTTTAGATAAAAGAGGTGAGGTTAAAAGATACATTTTCAGATCTTCGAAGGCAGCCTGGTGATAAGTGTTAAAATGTGTCACTTTTATGGGGTATTTAGGATTAATATTTTGCTTAATTAGAGTCCTTTAGGCCTATTATATGCTTAGAATAGCTTATTTTGACTAAATTTATGCATAAGGACTAGTTTTGGTAACATTTGTTGTAAATAGCAAAATATTGACAATTTTAGCTCATTGCGGCGACAGTTTGGAAGAAAAATCATATCTGGAGCTAAGAGTGTCCGATCGAGGTGATTCAGGTGGCCATGGATCGGAATCTAAAAGATCTACAACTTTCACGAAGATGACAAAGGCTATTTCGGAAATCTAGGCAGTCATATTCCCATTTACGCCGGAGT